TATGTATCCTAACGTGTCTATTCAAGGCACTATTGTGGGTAAATGTTTTACCACAATGTTCACATTGATAAGGTTTCTCTCCTGTATGTATCCTAAGGTGTTTATTCAAGGCACTATTGTGGGTAAATGTTTTACCACAATGTTCACATTTATAAGGTTTCTCTCCTGTATTTATCCTAAGGTGTTTATTCAAATCACAATTCTGTGAAAATGTTTTACCACAATGTTCACATTTATAAGGTTTCTCTCCTGTATATATCATACAATGACGTTTTAAGGTACCAAGCTGTGTAAATCTTTTACCACAATTTTCACATTGGTAAGGTTTGTCTCCAGTATGTATCCTAACATGTTTATTCAATTTAGAAAGCTGTCTAAATGTTTTACCACAATGTTTGCAATGATAAGGTTTCTCTCCTGTTTGAACCCTCACATGTCGTTTTAATGGTGGATTTTTTCCGCATTCATTTTTCATGTGAACATTTAGATAGTCTTCAATACTGTACTTTCGACCACAACGTGGACATTCCCAGGGATTCGTACAAACAAGCATTGGACATCGTTTTAAATGTTTCTCTAAATAATCGGGATAAGTATACATCCTTCCACAGTGTCTACAGCTGTGACCTCCAACTAAAAAGAAAAGTTAGAATTACATCACAGGATAAAGAACTGAATGATCATACATAATTATTCCATTGATGTACTTCAAAGCAATGAAATTTGTTTGAAAAAGTTCTCCATCGTTAAAACAACTGCATTGTTCACAATTTTAAAGCAAATATCAAATCACAGTAATGAACTGATGTTTAAAATATTCATGACTCTACACTAAAAGTAAAGTTTTAAATATCATGTAAATTTTTTATATCATGCGTAAATTTTTTATATCATGTGTTGCTACATACATAAGATTTAAATTTCATCCGCTGCTGCACAAGTCAGTTGCAACGGTTGCATCAGTAACTGGTCTAAACAACTCAATCCTACCAGTGATTTCTGCTAACATTTGCGGATCAAATCGTCTCTACAAGCGCGGCAACGTTCTTCTGGATTCTGGAGCTCAGATAAGTCTAATCCGCAGCGAAACGGCGGAGAGTCTCGGTATGAAAGGGAAAGACATCTCCGTTAACATCATAAAAATAGGTGGAGAGGAAGAGTCAATCTGCACAAAGAGCTACAAAGTTCAAGTAAGCAGAATCGGAGAATCAAAGAAGTACACAATCACTGCAGTTGGAATACCATGTATCAGCGAGGACTACCAAAGGACAAGGTGAAGCGTGGAAAGGGCCAAGTCGACTTACTTGTTGGAATCGATCATGCATACATGCACACGGGTAAAACAAAGCAAGTCGAACATGTGGTCGCGAGAGAATCGCCACTCGGCTGGGTTCTGTTCGGATCATCAACGGGACAGTCAAACAATGCAACAACAACTGTATTACACGTGAGGTACCCAGAAGCAGTTGATTTATCAGAATTTTGGACAACCGAAGCCATGAGAGTAACAGTAAAGCCGTGCACCTGTGAAGCTGAAAAATTGAGCCAATCCGAATGAGAAGAAAAGCAAGTGATTGAACAGTCTGCAAGAAAGGTTGGAAAGCAGTGGATGATTCCATATCCATGGAAGAAAACCCCCCAAGACTTACCAGATAACAGAATCCAGGCATTGAAACGACTAGAGTCAACTGAGCGTCGATTATTGAAAATTCCTACGCAAGCAGCAGCGTACAACAACAAGATGACAGAAATGGAAAACATGGGGTTTTCTCGAAAGTTATCCGAGAAGGAAGTTAAAGAACACAAAGAACCAGTCCATTACATCTCCCACCATGCAGTTCTAAGACCTGACAGTACAAGCACCCCGGTTCGTATCGTTTTCAACTCGTCCGCTACGTTCCGAGGACATAAGCTGAACGATTATTGGCAAAAGGGGCCTGATCTTCTGAACTCTCTATTCGGAGTTATTCTCCGTTTTAGGGAAAATAAAGTTGCCCTCACTGCGGATATCTCAAAGATGTACCACCGAGTCCTTATCCCTGTCGAAGACCAGCAGGTACACCGATTCCTATGGAGGAATTTAGAGATTGATAGACCTCCGGACACTTTCGTTATGAACGTACTTACGTTCGGTGACAAAACTGCACCAGCGATGGCCCAAGTTGCCTTGCGGAAAACTGCAGATGAAGGAGCATCAGAGAACCAGAGCAGCAAAAGTTATAAAGGACAATTCTTACATGGACGATATTCTGGATTCAGTTGCTACAAATGAAGAAGCAATCGGGTTGACTAAAGCAATCGACAGCATCTTTGATAATGGCGGGTTTCATGTGAAGGGATGGCAATCAAACGGAGAGTTGAACAGGAAAGACGAGCAAGAAGATGGTAATGAAGTTGATGTTCCTCATGGAAAACAAGAGTCAAAAGTGCTCGGCCTGGCCTGGAACAAGAAAGAGGATGTGCTTAAGTATAAAGTAAAAGTGAAAATATGCCACACCCAACAGCCAAAGTTCACAAAGAGGAAGATCCTAAGCCAAGTCGCTAGAATATATGACCCAATAGGCTTTGCAGCATCTTACCTTATAAGGGCAAAGATTGGTTTGCAGGAACTGTGGCAGCAAGGACTCGACTGGGACCTTTGACAATACAAATCTTGAGTCAATGACTGCTTTTCCATGTATCTCTGCAACATAGCCATCTATATATGACCTGATGACCTAAACATTTGTATTATTGTATTGAAATTTTAAAGTGTTGTATCAAAAGGGGTGATGATCGAGTCCCCACAGGATTCTTATTCATCACTGATTATTGCTTGCAATGAGTCACGTGAGAGTGCGCGCGATCCACAAGCAAGCACAGCCCTCGCACATTCAGCTGAGTTGTTGCTCAAACCCAATTCGGGTACAGCTGATTTGAATACAGGTAAACTGCTAACTATAAATATTGATGCTCTGGCATTACCCTGTCATGCTACCCATCAATTGTCTATGCATCGGAGACAAGCTGTAAAACCTTGTTTAAATAAGGAATTAGCATCTATTTGCTCACCACAGGGACCAGTCACTGAGTTTCTATTTGGGCTCAAAGCATCCAATAACAACATCAAAGCATCCAATAAGATTGGAAAAGTGATGGCCTCATCACGGTCTTCAGGACAGCCTTTTAAAAGCAAAGAGTCTTGGAAACATCCATCCCAAAATGACTAAAGTTCTTTTTTGGGGGAAAGACGTGGGATGCAGGACCGTTCCCCATGGAGCAGGTAAGGCTATGGAGTCCAATTCAAGAAACAATGGAAAAAGACAAAAGCTTGAGTACACATGATATTGATCTATTTACCTCAAGGCTCAACTTTTGTGGTTTTTAAACCAGATACGAAAGCTTATGCCAATGAATTCGATATATCGTAGTCAAAGTATTACAGTTATAGTTATAGTTATAGTTATATAGTTATAGTTATAGTTATATAGTTATAGTTATATAGTTATAGTTATATAGTTATAGTTATAGATATATAGTTATAGTTATATAGTGATGATGGTGACGAAGATGTAGATGATAAAAGTAGTAATAACAATAAAATGGTGGTGTTTGAAAAAGGAAGAGAGCTGTGTGCTGTTAATTAAGCAGAGTTGGGAGAGATACTAGAAGGTCAAGATAAGCTTTTCATTGAGAGAAAAGTAGATTAGAAGACTTAATGATGGAATGAAAAGTGCGCGTGAGTACACAAAAAGATAAGAAAAGAAGAAGTAAAAATGTGGAATAAGAAAATAAGAGGACTGAATAGTGTATAAACAGTAATACAGGACGCTACACCATAGGATAAAATTTGAGGTGGTAAAAGCAAACAAAAAATGAAATAGGATGACTTCGGTCGGACAGTACGATGGGAGAGAATGATTTAAACAGACTAGGAAGGCAGACAAACGAAGATGGTAAGAATTGTGGCTGATAAGGATAACTAAAGACAGGGATGGAAATGTTTTGATAGATACCGGAAGCGTGATAGGACAATCAAAGGGTTGGTGAATGAGAAATTGAGGGGAGTAAAACTAGAATAGTTAACCACTCAAATCAAGAGCTGATAAAGGACAGTAAAGATAAAGTTAGGTGTGACCTGTAGAACATGAAAAGTGGTTAGGCAGTCAGTTCATATACCTGTGGCAGTGACAAGGGAAGGTTTCTATTGGGTTATTGATCTAGTCGGTTGTAAAAAGGTTTAGTCATAGTACGTTCAAAGTATATCCACAAGCGATATGTAATATGATTAAGTAATAGAATGGTTTTCAGTGCAATTTTGAAAAAATATGCAAGAGTAATTTTCGTTCACTGGTATTTACGAATAAATGCACAGCTTCAAACCGATCAGAATTTAAAATTTCTGTTATGTATATTAAAGATAAACAAAAAGAAACAAACGAAAAAGTTGATGAACAAGAAGATAAACAAAAAGAAACAAACGAAAAGTTGATGAACAAGAAGATTAACAAAAGAAACAAAAGAAAAATTGATGCACTTCAAGATAAAACAGTAAAATTGGTACTTAAGTGCATAGCATAAACAATGTTGCAAGTCATCGCACATTTTTAGTTAGACAATATTTAGGTCCACTGGCGAATCTATGGATGGTCAGGATACATTACAATTTATTTCCATTTTAAAATACTCTGGAGCGAATCCTATTGGGATTATTTTAGTCTTAAATATTTTTTATAAACTTTTAATGTTGTTAAAAAAGCCTTTGGAATTTAAAATAAGCTTCTATAATTTATTTTGAACTACCCTCGATGCGACACGGTATAGGTCTTAATCAATTTAACCTTTTCTAAACCTAGTTCCATGCTTCCAAAGTATTACTATGGATTTATCAGGGACCGAGGGGACTGTGCAGTTACATCCCCTCCCTCAAATAATTTTGCTTCCTTTTGAATTTTGTAGCGAAATCCCTTACTAGCAAACTACTTTCTAGGATTCAGTGGTCAATAACCATACCACCTCGATTAAAGAATATGCTCTGCAGTCGCTCTTTATTCATTATGTTATTTGTATTTTATATAATTTGACGTTTAAATTCTATTTTAAGAGCAACAAGTTTTTAAACCCTTGTCTTCAAAATATTTTTACCCTGAAGAATTAAGCGATCAAACTAAACTATAAAGGATCTAAAACAGCCATGAGCCTTAAAGTTTCGGCTTAGCTGGAATCTTCTCCAATTTTTCATTCTTCTCCAATTTTTCATCATTAAATCTTTTCGCCATCGTAAATCGTTTGGACTTAAGTGTTGGAGTTAGTAATCCATTATCTGGAGTGAATAGTTGCGAATGAAGATGAATTCCTTTGACCTGAAATAATGACAGAAATAAGATAAGGTGAAATAAAACTACAGAAGAAATTATCGAGTAAAACCTGTTCAAACGACGCCAACTTTGCTTCCTTTCCTCTGGAGATGATGTCATTCAGAATCATGATATTGACGGCCTGAAGTTTGAAGTAAGGAAAGTACAAGCGTTTGAATGCCATGAAAAACATGTGGAATTTCCATGTTAATGTAGTACCGTATCCTGACATAATTCCTCAAAACGTTTGTTTATGTTATTGTCTTTGGCCCATTTTGTAAGAATTTCTTCATCAGGAACAATGATTCCAACAAGAAATGACTAAATAATATTGGAAAGATTACATTATGCTAGATTGCAAACAAGAAATCATAAATTCATTCTTATTTTTATCAAAAAAATGAAAGCCAAACATTTTAAGCGAATAAATATTCCAAATAAAATGCAAAAACATTTTCATCAATTTTTACTGAACAAACACGTTTCCTGATATGCAAATCAAGAGCAATTTTTTATTTCAAATCTCAACCCATAAGAAAGTTAGTGAATTGAGACGAATTTTGACCTCAGCAGTAAGCAAAAGATAACGTAATTTTTTATTGCAAATCCAAATCTCAAAAATTAAGAATCAAATCAAAATTTCAAGCAAAAGTTCACAGCCATGCTGAACAACTCGCCCCAGTACCTTAAGAGTAGAACCGTGTACAAAAGCTTGAGCGACGAAAGGACATTTGATGGAAACATTTTCAATTTTATCAGGAGAAATATATTCGCCCTAAAAGACACAATCACAAATAAGATAAATAAAAACCAAAAATATAATGGTTGCTATCATTTATGTTTTATAAACCTGCGACAACTTCAAAATGCATTTTTCGACCAATTATTTTAAGCGTTATATATTAAGCGTAATATATAATAATAAATTATAATAATTTCTTTCAAAGGAACTTGCTTCGTACTTGGTGTAAAAATTCTTGAAGTCAAATGTCTTTTTTTTAGTTATCATCTTCCTGAAATCTCTTACAGATAATGTCTTAGCAAAAATTAACAACCAGTTAACGTCATTTTTCCACATTAATTTCGATAACAACAAAAACATTATTTTACATCCTTTGCTACAATGTAACTTCAACTGACCTGTTTCCATTCTCCAATATCACCTGTATGCAACCAGCCATCATCATCTAACATTTCAGATGTTTTGTCAGGATTTTAAGATATCCCTTGAAGACATTTGGACCATAGACACATATCTTAAAACAAAATCATTCTTTCATAAAGACAAGATTCGTTACTTCGCCTTGATTGTTTGAAGTAAAATAGTTCATTTCTGGTACATCAACAAGTTTCACATAGTTACAGGTACTAGGTGATCCAACGTGACCTATAGGTACATACATGGATAAAATATAGTCACCTGTTGGTATAGACATGTATAAGATAGGGTCACTTATAAGTATACAGATGGATAAAATATTTTGAAAAATTCCTAGTGAGTTATTCACTCTACATTGTATAAAATACTTAGGGAAACATTGTACCATTATTAATTAGAAATGATAACAAAAACCTGGACATGACTACAATAATAGCGCTATCAACTGCAGGGCCTGGTACCTACGTAGCTAATATGAATGGAATTCATAAGTAATTGTGACAATCTAACAATAGAGATGAACATTATAGTTCATTGTACATAAATAAAAGATGACAAAACACTTCAAATCAACTATTTAGACCCAGGCCCCAGCCAACCTTACTTAGGTCTTAATATCTTAATTTTGACTTTCTCAACGTTTACAATATTACATTTTAAATGAAGTACCACAGAAGTGTTCATACGGAAATACGTAGTACCTGGTGAAAGATCAAGTTTATTTGTCAGAGAAACAAGTGCTGTAAACTCAGTCTGACAATAACCTTCAAAAATCTTAATACAAAGAGAAATAAGATGTAACCATGGCAACACAGTTGAAACGTGATGTCATAAACAAATACGAACCAAACATCCATGAACGACTTTTAAAAACTCTACAACTTTACCATCAATAGGAGCAGCACCTGTGAGAACAACATTTATAACACCAGCAAGGGTAAAAAAGATAATACCACCAGCAAGTAATAACACCAGCGAATAACACCAGCAAGGGGCGAATAACACCAGCAAGGGTAAAAAAGATAACCAAGGGATAACTTAGATCCTGAGAGGTTAACTACAATTGTCGAACAACTAGTTATGATTAAGAACATTAACGTGTGTATAAGAAAATAATGGAGTACCTTCGATAAATAGGGGATACAGAGTATAGAAAGATGGAATCTTGATGGAGACAAAATTCTTCAGTGTAGGCAATATCAAAAGAGAAGTACAATGGATCATAAAGCGAGAAGTTATCAAAATGTATAACAATATTAAGTTTATATTCGCTACATGCGAGTTTCTTCAGTTTCATAAAGATGTTAAACTCACCAAAATTATCGGCCACCTGAGAATCAGGTTTAAAGTAAAGATCCCTGCTCTATTCTACCATACATTTAAGAATAGAAACGAGACATTCCAGACCTTTGATACGAATACTGCGTTCTTGAACCTGGAAAATCATGTAAAAACAAGATGACACATGGCCTACTTAAATTACACGGCCTGATATCTTGCCATAGCAAGGCGAAAAATGCAAGGCCATTGAATTTTCCGGCGGTGCTCTTCGAAATTTTGTTCTTCTTCCTTCAAAATTGTTCATTGGCCTTACTTTATGGTATAATCTTGTATCTAAAAGTCTAGCGATCATTTCAAGAGTTTATTGGCTGAAATTGGTTCATTTTTGGTAGAGAAATCATAGTTTATAAATTGGTGCGATCGGCGGTTGTTTTGTATATCACGCGCTCGTCTTCCGGGTACGTGTTCCTGGTACTCTCCTCTGCATTTCTACAAGATTTTTGGAGTCGAATTGTATACATTTTTTCTTTCATTTACGAAAATCTTCAAACCCATAATTATAGCGATGGTGCTTCCTATTTTCAACGGCGTCCTTCCTACTCCAACTACGCCTAAGAAAATTTCATCAAATCCAAACGATTTCATTGGTAAATCATACTATCCCTTACCTTTTCAAGCTTCCTCATTAATTGGAAATCTTGGTATTGGTTCTTCTCCATCCTGGGACATCAATATAAACAATAAATCGATCAAACTTAAAATAGAATGGTATGTTGAAAAGAACATTAACAGTTCTCATGAATTCCCAAAATCTCTACTTAACATACTATCAGCCTACAACCTTGTACAACCTACCTTGTCCTCCTCCTTTGCTAAAGAGAAACTGTCTTTCAAGTTTGAATGGAAACTACTCTCAGATGCTACTAACCAACCTGAACAAGTTAAAACTCCATCTACTAACTTACCTTTCCATACTCCTGACTTTGGCTATACATCAACATCTAAATCGTATGTATATTCACCACCCAATCTTACAACTCCTACCAAACTCTTCCACAATCATGCTGCTAGTTTTCTAAATCCTCTCACTCCTCCATACACTCCTTACCATCAAGGTACTTTTCAGGTTAATAAAGTCCTGAAAAGGACTGTTTTTGTTGTTGTTGACTGACGTTTCGACAACCTTAGCGGTAGTCCTAACCTGACATTTACTCCTCATTTGACTCTAAAGATGACTACCGCTAAGGTTTTCGAAACGTCAGTCAAACTTTTATTAACCTGAAAAACCATGGAGGAGTAGTATTTAGAAACAGCAGCATGATAAGAGTTGTAGAAGATTGGGTTAATATACATGATTTAGATGTTGATGTATAGCCAAAGTCAGGAAAGTTAGTAGATTGAGTTTTAACTTGTTCAGGAAGTTTTCCATTCAAACTTGAAAGACAGTTTCTCTAAAGGAGGAGGACATTTATGTTATTTTGAATTCATGAGAACTGATAACATACCATTCTATTTTAAGTTTGATCGATTTATTGTTTATGATGTCCCAGGATAATTACCAAGATTTTTGAGGAAGCTTGAAAAGTTAGTATGATTTAACAATGAAATCGTTTGATTTGAATAGGAAGCACCATCGTATAATTTGAAGAAATAAAAGAAAATACCAACTCATCTTGTAGAAATGGATACCATGTAGATACCAAATATAGATAATCCACGATAGATTTAAACATAAGTTTGCTTGATATAAATGAAAGAATAAATGAAAACGTTATTATCAATAAGAGTACAATTTACTCAAAGATCAACACTTATTCTTAACACTCCAGTTCCACATGCATTTTATTTTATCTTATAGATCAGTGGGTCACATGATAAATCATTAAGACTTTGGGAACGAACGGACGAACCGTTGTTTGTCGAAGAGGAGAGAGAAATGGTACTATACATAGATCTGTTGCTGGAGCTACAAAAATATGCATATAGTACCTGTACTTTCAATGTTTATTTTAATTTTTCTATTGAGGAGAGGGAAGCAGTTTACGAAGAAAGCGCCGTAACAGGAGTTGAAACAATTGTAAGATTCTTTTTACTATGTAACATGAGATATATATGTTCGATCTTGAGCCCAACTACTCTGTATTTGTTATATACTTTCACTATGGAAAAAATCTTGTGGAAGTTGCATTTATTGCACTAAATAAATTCATTTATTTAAACCATGATGTTGTTTAGATTCCAGGTGAACAAGACACAGAAGCTGTTAAAGCTGGCAAGAAAACTATCGAGACGATCAAAGGAGTTAGTTTTGTTGTTGTATTAGCATTGCAAGTAAATTTTATTGGTTTTGTGCCCAGTCCCCCCTTTAGTACCTGAAAGATACCTCAAAATCATACAGATATATCGAAAACTGTAGTACACCAAAGACATGTGAAGACTGTGCATATATGAGGCCAAATGTTTAAGCTTCCATTCAGATGGAGTACTTGGAGGATATTATAGTAGAATACAGATACTTGCAAGATAATACAGTTTGATTGTGATACTTGGATAATATTATAGTAGAATATAGATACTTGGAAGATAATACAGTATGATTGGGATACTTGGAGGATATTGAAGTATAATATATAATATACGCCTGGAGATTACTATGTTGATGTTTGTTCTTATCTCTTCATTAGGCTGAAAGAATCATGGAGGCCATTGAATTGTATAAGGAAGAAAGACAGAAAGAACTTGAACATAAAGCGAGTCAAGTGACAGAAGACGTTAGGTTTGTTATTTCTTGCTCTGCACATCTGCAAAATGTTTATGTTTTACGTATAGACAATCTTAAATCTTAAATGAAAGTTTTGTTATTTCTTGCTCTGCACATCTACAAAATGTTTATGTTATACGTATAGACAATCTTAAATCTTAAATGAACAATCTTAAATAACCATGACCGGCAACATAACAAAACTTTCCAAATTAACTTTTGTATTCATTTTTTAAATGTGGTTACTTTTCCCGCGTCGTTATTTAGTTCTTCCTATCCCTCTATGGTCATAAATTACCTGTTGTTACCATTGATATATCAACGGTACGTTTTATTCATATGACGTGTGTTTCTAAGTATCCACGTTTCACTGTCGTATACAAACATGTATTGTGTTTATAAGAAGAATCCTTAGCTTACGTCATGGACGCATACATTTTGTATACGTCACATCCGTTTTAGCTGTCGCATAAATTATACTGTTTTTTTCAAGCTCACAGGAACGGCTTCCAACTCTGTTTTGATATCATGTTTTATAATACGTTTTTTATTTTTGGTTGAAAGAACTTTAACACATAAAATAGAAGAAAAATACGTATAAACAAAAGATACATTATCAAGCTGTAAATAGGTGATTTCGCTATAGCTTTTCGAATTAGATATTTTCGAAATAAAATTACAATGTGAATCAATTTTATATTATACTCTAATAATTTATGCGACAGTTCAAAAGAATGTAAATTTTGCTGGATAAGCTTTTCTTCATTTTTGTTATAAACCCAAACGAGGAAGTTTGGGCTTGTGACGTAAACTAAGGAATTATAAAATGAGCGATGATTATGAGAATGTAATGAAAACTGATTTGAAACTTTGAAAAAGACGTACATAATGTCAACTACGTATGACCGTGTAAATTTTTACCAATCCTCTGTTGTGAAAGTGTAGAGCGTGTTGTGTTCCATCACTTGACCACTTTGCATTAGTGAACGCTTTTCAATGGCGTTGTTTTTTATTTTTGAAACTTTTCTCTGTCTTTGGATTCGTATTTTTGTCATCCTTGATTCATTTTTTACAGGATAACGTTCTCCTCGTTTCTGGTGGCGTTGACAAGAACATTAAAATTTGGGGTTTGGATTTTGGTGATTGTCGGAAATCAATATTCGCCCATGATGACAGGTACGCACAATGTAATTTTAAATGACAGATACGCAATTTTATGATAGTAATATATGATAGCCTGAAACAGTCGATTATATCCCTACTATACACTCGTATCTTATGTACATCGTCATTATACCCTATTAAACCCTCTTACCCTGGTTAGATCATTGTTTCGTCGTCACCATACCTCGTACGTCTATAACATTATAGTAAACCACGTCCTCAATTGTTTTACACGTAGATTTCCTGCATATTTTTTACCCGCATGTTATCAACATTACACCCCACAATACCTACATGTACTTTCATTGTATACTTTATATTCTCATGTTATCAACATTACACCCCCATTACTATTTATTACCATATATTCTCATGTTATCAACATTACACATAGTAATTACATGTACTTTCATTGTATACATTATATTCTCATGTTATCAACATTATTACTCATGTTCAATACCTACATGTTACATTTCATTGTATACTTTATATTCTCATGTTATCTTACATTTACACTCATTTATACCTACATGTACTTTCATTGTATACCTTATATTCTCAAGTTATCAACATTACACCTAGTAATATCTGCATGTACTTTCATTGTATACATTATATTCTCATGTTATCAGCATTACTCATAGTAATACCTACATGTACTTTCATTGTGTACCATATATTCTCATGTTATCAACATTACACCCCACAATACCTACATGTACTTTCATTGTATACCTTATATTCTCATGTTATCAAGATTACACCTTGTAATATCTACATGTACTTTCATTGTATACTTTATATTCTCATGTTATCAACATTACTCATAGTAATAATTACACGTACTTTCATTGTGTACCATATATTCTCATGTTATCAACATTACACTTAGTAATACCTACATGTACTTTCATTGTATACCTTATATTCTCATGTTATCAACATTACACATAGTAATACCTACATGTATATTCGTTATTTATATTATAACAACTTTTAATCTTCTTTTAGTGTCATGGGCGTGCAGTTCGTGCGGAAAACTCATTATTTCTTCAGTTCAAGTAAAGATAAAACGATAAAATATTGGGACGCTGAATAATTTCTTCATGTTACGACCTTAGAAGGTCATCATTCAGAAATATGGAGTCTTGCAATCAGCCATGACGGTGAGTTTGTTGTAAGTGTCAAGTATGGAAGGTTTTAGATAATTTTAAACATAAGTTTGCTTGATATGAACGAAAGAATAAATGAAAAACGTTATTATCAATATGAGTACCATTTACTCAAAGATCAACACTTATTCTTAACACTCCAGTTCCACTTGCATTTTATTTTATCTTATAGATCAGTGGGTCACATGATAAAAGACTTTGGGAACGAACGGACGAACCGTTGTTTGTCGAAGAGGAGAGAGAAATGGTACTATACATAGATCTGTTGCTGGAGCTACAAAAATATGCATATAGTACCTGTACTTTCAATGTTTATTTTAATTTTTCTATTGAGGAGAGGGAAGCAGCTTACAAAGAAAGCGCCGTAACAGGAGTTGAAACAATCGTAAGATTCTTTTTACTATGTAACATGAGATATATATGTTCCATCTTGAGCCCAACTACTCTGTATTTGTTATATACTTTCACTATGGAAAAAATCTTGTGGAAGTTGCATTTATTGCACTAAATAAATTCATTTATTTAAACCATGATGTTGTTTAGATTCCAGGTGAACAAGACACAGAAGCTGTTAAAGCTGGCAAGAAAACTATCGAGATGATCAAAGGAGTTAGTTTTGTTGTTGTATTATCATTGCAAGTAAATTTTATTGGTTTTGTGCCCAGTCCCCCCTATAGTACCTGAAAGATACCTCAAAATCATGCAGATATATCGAAAACTGTAGTACACCAAAGACATGTGAAGACTGTGCATATATGAGGCCAAATGTTTAAGCTTCCATTCAGATGGAGTACTTGGAGGATATTATAGTAGAATACAGATACTTGCAAGATAATACAGTTTGATTGTGATACTTGGATAATATTATAGTAGAATATAGATACTTGGAAGATAATACAGTATGATTGGGATACTTGGAGGATATTGAAGTATAATATATAATATACGCCTGGAGATTACTATGTTGATGTTTGTTCTTATCTCTTCATTAGGCTGAAAGAATCATGGAGGCCATTGAATTGTATAAGGAAGAAAGACAGAAAGAACTTGAACATAAAGTGAGTCAAGTGACAGAAGACGTTAGGTTTGTTATTTCTTGCTCTGCACATCTAAAAAATGTTTATGTTTTACTTATAGACAATCTTAAATCTTAAATGAAAGTTTTGTTATTTCTTGCTCTGCACATCTACAAAATGTTTATGTTATACGTATAGACAATCTTAAATCTTAAATGAACAATCTTAAATAACCATGACCGGCAACATAACAAAACTTTCCAAATTAACTTTTGTATTCATCTTTTAAATGTGGTTACTTTTCCCGCGTCGTTATTTAGTTCTTCCTATCCCTCTATGGTCATAAATTACCTGTTGTTACCATTGATGTATCAACGGTACGTTTTATTCATATGACGTGTGTTTCTAAGTATCCACGTTTCACTGTCGTATACAAACATGTATTGTGTTTATAAGAAGAATCCTTAGCTTACGTCGTGGACGCATACATTTTGTAAACGTCACATCCGTTTTAGCTGTCGCATAAATTATACTGTTTTTTTCAAGCTCACAGGAACGGCTTCCAACTCTGTTTTGATATCATGTTTTATAATACGTTTTTTATTTTTGGTTGAAAGAACTTTAACACATAAAATAGAAGAAAAATACGTATAAACAAAAGATACATTATCAAGCTGTAAATAGGTCATTTCGCTATAGCCTTTCGAATTAGATATTTTCGAAATAAAATTACAATCAATTTTATATTATACATTAATAATTTATGCGACAGTTCAAAAGAATGTAAATTTTTCTGGATAAGCTTTTCTTCATTTTTGTTATAAACCCAAACGAGGAAGTTTGGGCTTGTGACGTAAACTAAGGAATTATAAAATGAGCGATGATTATGAGAATGTAATGAAAACTGATTTGAAACTTTGAAAAAGACGTACATAATGTCAACTACGTATGACCGTGTAAATTTTTACCAATCCTCTGTTATGAAAGTGTAGAGCGTGTTGTGTTCCATCACTTGACCACTTTGCATTAGTGAACGCTTTTCAATGGCGTTGTTTTTTATTTTTGAAACTTTTCTCTGTCTTTGGATTCGTATTTTTGTCATCATTGATTCATTTTTTACAGGATAACGTTCTCCTCGTTTCTGGTGGCGTTGACAAGAACATTAAAATTTGGGGTTTGGATTTTGGTGATTGTCGAAAATCAATATTCGCCCATGATGACAGGTACGCACAATGTAATTTTAAATGACAGATACGCAATTTTATGATAGTAATATATGATAGCCTGAAACAGTCGATTATATCCTACTATACACTCGTATCCTATGTACATCGTCATTATACCCTATTAAACCCTCTTACCCTGGTTAGATCATTGTTTCGTCGTCACCATACCTCGTACGTCTATAACATACTAGTAAACCACGTCCTCAATTGTTTTACACGTAGATTTCCTGCATATTTTTTACCCGCATGTTATCAACATTACACCCCACAATACCTACATGTACTTTCATTGTATACCTTATATTCTCATGTTATCAACATTACACCTAGTAATATCTACATGTACTTTCATTGTATACATTATATTCTCATGTTGTCAACATTACTCATAGTAATACCTACATATACTTTCATTATATACTTTATATTTTCATGTTATCAACATTACTCATAGTAATAACTACAAGTACTTTCATTGTATAATGTTATCACAATACCTACATGTACTTTCATTGTATACCTTATATTCTCATGTTATCAACATTACACCTAGTAATATCTACATGTACTTTCATTGTATACATTATATTCTCATGTTATCAACATTACTCATAGTAATACCTACATGTACTTTCATTGTGTACCATATATTCTCATGTTATCAACAACAATACCTACATGTTTTGTATACTTTATATTCTCATGTTATCAACATTACTCATAGTAATACCTACATGTACTTTCATTGTATACTTTATATTCTCATGTTATCAACATTACACCCCACAATACCTACATGTACTTTCATTGTATACCTTATATTCTCATGTTGTCAACATTACTCATAGTAATACCTACATGTACTTTCATTATATACTTTATATTTTCATGTTATCAACATTACTCATAGTAATAACTACATGTACTTTCATTGTATACCTAATATTCTCATGTTATCAACAATACACCCCACAATACCTACATGTACTTTCATTGTATACCTTATATTCTCATGTTATCAACATTACACCTTGTAATATCTACATGTACTTTCATTGTATACTTTATATTCTCATGTTATCAACATTACTCATAGTAATACTTACATGTATATTCGTTATTTATATTATAACAACTTTCAATCTTCTTTTAGTGTCATGGGCGTGCAGTTCGTGCCGAAAACTCATTATTTCTTCAGTGCAAGTAAAGATAAAACGATAAAATATTGGGACGCTGACATATTTCTTCATGTTACGACCTTAGAAGGCCATTCTTCAGAAATATGGAGTCTTGCAATCAGCCATGACGGCGAGTTTGTTGTAAGTGTCAAGTATGGAACGTTTTAGATAATTTTAAACATAGGTTTACTTGATATGAATGAAAGAATAAATGAAAATCGTTATTATCAATAAGAGTACCATTTACTCAAAGATCAACACTTATTCTTAACACTCCAGTTCCACATGCATTTTATTTTATCTTATAGATCAGTGGGTCACATGATAAATCATTAAGACTTTGGGAACGAACGGACGAACCGTTGCTTGTCGAAGAGGAGAAAGAAATGGTACTATAAAAATATCTGTTGCTGGAGCTACTAAAATATGCATATAGTACCTGTACTTTCAATGTTTATTTTAATTTTTCTATTGAGGAGAGGGAAGCAGCTTACGAAGAAAGCGCCGTAACAGGAGTTGAAACAATTGTAAGATTCTTTTTACTATGTAACATGAGATATATATGTTCGATCTTGAGCCCAACTACTCTGTATTTGTTATATACTTTCACTATGGCAAAAATCTTGTGGAAGTTGCATTTATTGCACTAAATAAATTCATTTATTTAAACCATGATGTTGTTTAGATTCCAGGTGAACAAGACACAGAAGCTGTTAAAGCTGGCAAGAAAACTATCGAGATGATCAAAGGAGTTAGTTTTGTTGTTGTATTATCATTGCAAGTAAATTTTATTGGTTTTGTGCCCAGTCCCCCCTATAATACCTGAAAGATACCTCAAAATCATACAGATATATCGAAAACTGTAGTACACCAAAGACATGTGAAGACTGTGCTTATATGAGTCCAAATGTTTAAGCTTCCATTCAGATGGAGTACTTGGAGGATATTATAGTAGAATACAGATACTTGCAAGATAATACAGTTTGATTGTGATACTTTGTATAATATTATAGTAGAATATAGATACTTGGAAGATAATACAGTATGATTGGGATACTTGGAGGATATTGAAGTATAATATATAATATACGCCTGGAGATTACTATGTTGATGTTTGTTCTTATCTCTTCATTAGGCTGAAAGAATCATGGAGGCCATTGAATTGTATAAGGAAGAAAGACAGAAAGAACTTGAACATAAAGCGAGTCAAGTGACAAAAGACGTTAGGTTTGTTATTTCTTGCTCTGCACATCTACAAAATGTTTATGTTTTACGTATAGACAATCTTAAATCTTAAATGAAAGTTTTGTTATTTCTTGCTCTGCACATCTACAAAATGTTTATGTTATACGTATAGACAATCTTAAATCTTAAATGAACAATCTTAAATAACCATGACCGGCAACATAACAAAACTTTCCTAGACGAAACACCACAATTGGGGCAACGCCCTACACTTTTATTAAACCCTACATGTGAAACCACCGCCAATATTTTCTTACTCTCTAATTTGGACCACGCCCTGCATCGTTGTTTTACTCTACCCATGAAACCACCAGTAATATTTTCTTACTCTCTAATTGGGGCAACGCCCTACACTGTTATTTAACCCTACCTGTGAAACCACCGCCAATATTTTCATACTGTCTAATTGGGACCACGCTCTGCACTGACCTACCCATGAAACTACCACCAATATTCCACACTCTCTAATTAGAACCACGCCCTTCGCCCTTCACTATTGTCTGATTTATACAGAAAATCCCAGTTTCGTTTTTTACCGAAGTTCTTTTTGCTCTCACATACATTTTCTTTCCTTTGAACAGCTTTCAAAGCGCGCCATTCATCCGATTCTTGCTGCCTTTGGTAATATCAGTGTAAGTTTATTATATCTTCAATGTTTCTATTTGAGAATCACATGAAGGCCACGTGATACAAGGTGAAAGCCACGTGCATGTTGAGCATGATTAATGTAAATATTAATGTAAGGGTAAGATTGCAAAATTTACATACGTACGTACGTAGATAAGGGAAAAATGGATGAGATGGCTTTACATTTATAACAACTCTAGAAAAACGAGTTAAATATAAAATACACAGGATTTGTAATAATGAAATAAAATATCTTGACCACGAAGATGGAGGCCATAAATATTGTTGTTCTACGATTGAATGCCTGTCTATGTCAACCTCCTTTTCCCGGACCATAAACTTACGACGTTTGTAAAATATTTTTCTTCTCACAGCCTGTACAGTATGTACTTCTAGTGGTGAAAAAGTAAAGTCAAGGTAAGGTTGAAGTATTATAAAGAGCAGCAAATTATCCCGTGAAGAATCGTTGTTTGTACTAAAAGTTAATTTAGAGCATTTTAAACGTTAAGTATGGCAAAGTGTCTCGTTGGAGTTACTAAAGGAATTAAATATTAAGTGTTATTTGAATACAGTAGAGAGGTATCTTATGAAGCAAGTGTTTTTCTACAAAACATTTAAATTATTTAATTTCAGTGAACTTGAAGAATCGTTGCTTGTGTTACCGTTTGACTATGTTATTGATGTACTGAAACTTCTTCTTGAGTGGATTAAGGTGAAGTGAAATGTATTTTGACTCCTGTGTCATTAGTTCACAAGGTACAGGTTTCCTTTTCAAATTTTGCTAATCCCAGATGTACGTGATTGTTTAGAATGGTTGGGAAACAGAGTTAAGTTGTCGATGTTTGTTCTTTCTGCTGCGGTAAGATTAAGACGTAATTTTGTTTTTGGTTTCGATCGATATTTTTTCAATATGTCTGTCTTTAAATCATTCCCTAAGAATTTCATCACGTTCCTTCAGTATTGCTGAATATATGATACAATTGGCGAGATACCTATGTACAATGCTGGATATTTTTCATTTTTTTCATATTTTGTTACGATAGAATACATCACAACAAGATCATATCCATTCCTGAACTACTGCCAGTAATAGACTCTATCAGATCACATTGTCGTAGCCGAGTTCGCGAAATGAAGGTAGGAAGTTGTACGTTTATGAAAACGCAAGTATCGCCAAATTTCTCCCGTAATTTTACCATGCGCTACACGACCGTTAATTTATTCGTGGTAAATTTTGTCGACACTTTAATGACTGAAACTTAACATGAAAAGTCGTCAATTTTGATTGGTTAAGAGCAATTAAGGCTTTCTTTCACATTACAGTGCCAATCTTAATACTGAGTTTGGCTTTGTATTAAAAAGATTCATAGAATATTCTTTTGTGTATTAAGAAGAGAAAAAAGTATGTATTTAGAAACAAAAATATTCAAGAGTATGAATATTTCATTTTTCTCTAGTTTTTTGATTTTTGCTAAATTAGTCGTCTTGAGTTTTTGAATTGTGTACTTCAAACTGCCACAGATGACTTTTGCAATTATATGAACTGAATAAATTTTCTTGAATTTTTACATCAACGCCGATAAAACTATGGCACACTTGCAATGATTGCTTTATCTTTAGGATACTGTTGGATTCAATTTGGCGGGACTACAGTTTATTCAAAGACAGCTTGAGAATCGTGACGTCACATTCTTTGGCGAGACACGCGAGAGACTGGGACAAATACGAAAAAAGAAGACAATTGTGAGGAAATTTCGATGAAGGTTATTTTGTTGTTGATACTTTGACAATTAAAACGATTGTCTTCAAAAGTACACAATGGCTTCGGTTGATTTCTGTCTATAGCCATCTTCGAAGATCCCTAACCCAAACTGTACCCCTAGAGGGACAAGGAAAATCCCCGTGTGCCCTTTAAATTACAATTTTCGTGATCAGCAGACGTTTAAATTTTGCATGATTCAGCAGTTATTGATACTGGGTCAGCCTTAAAAGCTAAAGAAAAGAATTTCGATCTTGGTATTTTAATAACTAAATAATGGGCTAGCCAGACAAGGACAATCGGAGTCTTTTACTTCGATGACATTGAAATACATTTTTTTGCGTCTAATCCTAGCTCCCAGCTACATAAATAATCTTACTGCAAACTGATTTCAGAAAAGTTAAATTTAAATGAAAGTGAGATCATCAAATTCAACATCACAACTATCGGTGAATACCTCCATCGAATGAATATATAGAATTAAAATAAGTTATTACATTACGTAAATTGCATATTTCCCAGTTATAAAAAAGAAGAGTGACACAAAAATTAAGGGAGTAATTCCAACTATAAACAGGAAGAAATAATGAATCGATTAACAATTATCAAGCAATTCACCCATCTACAAAACATATAAACAAAAAATGTACTTTATGAGTTACCAAAATGAATACAGAAAAAACTGCATCCTCATATGACAAAGTAGTCTTCTGGTCATTTCAGCATTCAACAAAAGGGATGTAAAATTGTCATGGTTCTTCTAAGATATGGATTTATTTTCATGAAAATGACCCAACAAACACTTCACTCATTTGAAGGAGCTTAACAACTTCAAAGTAGATAGATTGCAAACGTACTAATCTCATATACACTGTAAAAGTTCCATACAAGTTTCTTAGCTAACAAAAAAAACTGTTCCAGTAACTAAATGACTATTGAAAACTTGAAAATACAAATGTTTGTATTGAACATTATCAAGAATATATTTAAACTTTTTTATATACAACTGTTGTTGTTAGGACTTTAGTGTAAATTTTTTCTTTAATTCACGGACTCCAAAAATCTTGTAGAAATGTAGAGGAGGTTACCAGGAACACGTAGATACCAAAGATAGATAATCCACGATAGATTTAAGAGCTAAAATTTTCGAACGAAAATGAGCGCGTGATAAACAAAACAACCGCCGATCGCACCAATTTATAAACTTTGATTTCTCGGCGAAAAAAGGACCAATTTCAGCCAATAAACTCTTGAAATGATCGCTAGACTTTTAGCTACAAGATTATACCATAAAGTAAGGCCAATGAACAATTTTGAAGGAAGAAGATCAAAATTTCGAAGAGCACCGCCGGAAAATTCAATGGCCTTGCATTTTTGACCTTACTGTGGCAAGATATCAGGCCGTGTATTTAAGTAGGCCATGAAAGCTTCAATGTTAATTTCTTTAGTATTGCTCGTTCATAACAATCTTTTGCTTTTTGTACTCTCCCATATCACTGTAAACCAAACCCAGATTGTTGTACGTTGTCACGATATTAACATGGTCAGGTCCAAATGCTTTCGTTTGAATTTCCATCGCTTGTATGCAAAAATGTTTGTCTTTTTCGTACTCTCCTATTTTACTGTTAACAAAACCCAGATTGTTGTAAGTTCTCGAGATACTAACATGGTCAGGTCCAAATACTTTTGTGTAAATTTCTAATGTTCGTTCGTAAAAATCATTTGCTTTTTCGTACTCTCCCATATCACTGTAAACGAAACCCAGATTGTTGTACGTTGTCGCGATATTAACATGGTCAGGTCCAAACGCTTTTTTTTTTAACTTACATCGCTTGTTTACAAAAATGTTTTGCTTTTTCCTACTCTCCCATATCTATGTAAACCAAACCCAGATTGTTGTACGTTGTCAAGATATTAACATGGTCAGGTCCAAATGCTCTCGTTTGAATTTTCATCGCTCGCATGCAAAAATGTTTGGCTTTTTCGTGCTCTCCTATCTTACTGTAAACAAAACCCAGATTGTTGTACGTTGTCGCGATATTAACATGGTCAGGTCCAAATGCTTTCCTTTGAATTTCCATCGCTTGAATTCAAAATGTTTGGCTTTTCGTACTCTCCTATTTTACTGTAAACAAAACCCAGATTGTTGTACGTTGTCGCAATATTAACATGGTCAGGTCCAAATGCTTTTGTTTTAATTTCTATTGCTTGTTCGTAAAATCTTTTGCTTTTCGTACTCTCCCATATCACTGTAAACCAAACCCAGATTGTTGTACGTTGTCGCGATATTAACATGGTCAGGTCCAAATGCTTTCGTTTGAATTTCCATTGCTCGTATGCAAAATGTTTGGCTTTTCGTACTCTCCTATCTTACTGTAAACCAAACCCAGATTGTTGTACGTTGTCGCGATATTAACATGGTCAGGTCCAAATGCTTTCGTTTGAATTTCCATTGCTCGTATGCAAAAATGTTTGGCTTTTCGTACTCTCCTATCTTACTGTAAACCAAACCCAGATTGTTGTACGTTGTCGCGATATTAACATGGTCAGGTCCAAATGCTTTCGTTTGAATTTCCATTGCTCGTATGCAAAATGTTTGGCTTTTCGTACTCTCCTATTTTACTGTAAACCAAACCCAGATTGTTGTACGTTGTCGCAATATTAACATGGTCAGGTCCAAATGCTTTCGTTTGAATTTCCATCGCTTGTATGCAAAAATCTTTGGCTTTTCGTACTCTCCTATTTTACTGTAAACCAAACCCAGATTGTTGTACGTTGTCGCGATATTAACATGGTCAGGTCCAAATGCTTTTGTGTAAATTTCTAATGTTCGTTCGTAAAAATCTTTTGCTTTTTCGTACTCTCCCATATCTTTGTGAACCAAACCCAGATTGTTGTACGTTGTCGCAATATTAACATGGTCAGGTCCAAATGCTTTTGTAAATTTCTAATGTTCGTTCGTAAAAATCTTTTGCTTTTTCGTACTCTCCCATATCTTTGTGAACCAAACCCAGATTGTTGTACGTTGTCGCAATATTAGCATGGTCAGGTCCACATGCTTTCATTTCAATTTCCATCGCTCGTTCATAAAAATCTTTTGCTTTTTTGTACTCTCCTTTATTTCTGTAAACAGAACCCAGATTGTGGTACGTTGTTGCAATATAAACATGGTCAGGTCCAAATGCTTTGGTGTAAATTTCTATTGTTCGTTCGTAAAAATCTTTTGCTTTTCGTACTCTCCCATATCTTTGTGAACCAAACCCAGATTGTTGTACGTTGTCGCTATATTAACATGGTCAGGTCGAAATGCTTTCATGTAAATTTCCATCGCTCGTTCATAAAGATATTTTGCTTTTTCGTACTCGCCCATATCTTTGTGAACCAAACCCAGATTGTTGTACGTTGTCGCTATATTAACATGGTCAGGTCCAAATGCTTTTGTTTGAATTTTCATCGCTAGTTCATGAAAATCTTTTGCTTTTTCGTACTCTCCATTCTCCCGAAGCAACCAACCCATCTCGTTGTACGAATATGAAACATCAACATGATTAACACCTAACACTCTAGTTTGAATTGTTGTTATATCCTTAAGTACATTGATGGCCTGTTTAAAGTTGTAAAATTTTTTTAATACATTTGCAAAGTAATTAGCAATTTTCAAATTGTTTTCATCAAGTTCTTGTTTTGATGATTTTACATCGATCAACTTATTTAGGAAATGTTGAAATGATGAATTTGTTATGAATTTAATTAGATGGGGAATTATTTTGATTTGACCTTCTCTGTCTTCAAATGATAGAGTGCCCAAGCGACTTGACACGCAAGTAGAGACATCTTAGTCGAATTATTTTCTTTTTGTTTACTGCAAGAGGTCTGCCAAAATTGATAATTTATGATGGCTTCATGTACAACGCGATGCAGGCGGATGTCGTTGTTTTCCGATTCAAGAATTAACGAACAATGCTTTAATTGAAGACATATATCTTCTGCAGACGTATGTGGATCAGTGCTTTTAATAAATTGTATGATAATATCTTGTGGTAACGGATCGAAAGATATTATCGAGAAAAGACCAAAACTTTTCCCATTAATATGGATTCTTGAGTACTTTTTGTACTGCCAGCTCAACAGTTTTCAATATAGTTGATTTACCTCCAGAATATGCTGTATTGATCTTTTGAAATGTGGCATCCATGCTCTGTCGCTCTCCTTCATTCAACTTATCGAAATATTGCTCCCACGTGAATTCCAGATTTGCACTATTTACACTACCTACGTAGTAAGCAGCACTTGCCAGGACCAATGGTTGACGATCTAATTTTTCTGACAAATTCTTTAAAACTCTTCATCATGATTATGAATATCGGAATAGACAGATAGAATTTGACGACATTCTTTATCATTCATACCATGACTGATTGAAATGTGTTTGTTTAAATTGTCATCTGGTGGTATAGCATCTGTATTTTGGACAGTTACTATAATTTGTCCATTTTTCCAATTATGATCACCAACTTGAGGTAATAATGGATAAATTTTATCCAGTTCAACCGCGTTATCAACAACAATCCACCATATTTTCCAAGATATCAGTTTTTGTGTCAGCAGGAAATGAAAGTGTTTTATTCTGTCTTCGCTGCTTTTTACATTTTTTAAAACATTTTCAATAAAATGTTCATGGATGTTCAAACGTTGACATAGGTCATTATAAGTTTTTAAGAGAGATTTAGCATCTTTTCCTTCGAGTATCATTACAAATGTAGTTTTATTTTCCCAGTCAACAGAGTTAAGCATTTCGTTGCAAATTTGTCTAGCTAATTGAGATTTACCACTGCCAGGATTACCAGAAATATAGTAATATGTCAGTTCATTATTGTTAGTACTGCGCAAGCTATTGCGATCTGCTGTGATTTGATTAAGTAATTTTGTACGTTTAACAATGCCATGATTTGGTTTGCAAGGAAGTACTTGAAAAGAATTAAATTTGTTTCGTTGTCTTTTTATTTTTTTAATTTCATTGAATGAAAATCCTAGATCTTGAAACGAATTTTCAATATCACAAACCATTTTGTCAAATTCGGAATCAGATACTTTACCACTAAAATCATGGATGAATTTGTTTCTAACAATACGAAGTGCATCAACTGCAGATCTAACTTTTGAGTTAACTTTTGTTCCAATTGAGTTGGAATACAGTATTGCTGCAAATAGTGTTGTACAATCCTACTTACTGGTGTCACCATCTTGAAAATTTAACAGAATATGTTTGCTCTACCCATTAAATCAATCAATCAATTTAAGGGAATTTGCAGATCAATCAAATTCATGTTAGAAAAGAAGTTAAAACGTTTTTTCTAGTTTCCCTGTTTTTCGCATCATTGCATGCAGTACGCTTTTATAAAAAAAAACAAAAGTATTTGCGCAGGTTTATGCCAAGTTTGGAGAAGTTGTGAGTTCTCCCAAAGGTCTCCATAGTGCAAAGAGTAAATGCTTAAAATCTTTTATAAAGCAACTATCTACATGCCATGCAGGTCATTTTATCAATTCACCGACAATATCATTAATAAATGTACTTTGTGTAATTCAACATAATAAGACACACGACCAGTTTATTACTATGAAATATGTGTAAAGTAAGAATAACGTAATATTAAAGAAAACATGACCAGTTTATCTACAACAGTATCAACACACGAACATCAACTCATTTGCATCATCCTAACCATTCCTGAATGCGTTTCAACAAAGACTTTTTATGTAAAGCTAACACAGACTGCATATAATCGGAATAAAATAATTTTAAATATATGCTGCAATTAATCATTTCATATAGTTATCTAAAGCAAAACTTTATCGATAATGCAGTTGCACTATACACTATATGAGTGTAAAAATTTTTGTTACATTAAAAAAAATCAATATAATAATAGTATTTTACATTGATTTATATTTAGCTGTGCCAAAGGTCTTTAAAATCTGGTTTGTTTTCTGTTGGCGATGCAGAATATGCATCTTCAACATGAAATTTGAATGAGACGTGACAAATGAATACAAAAAGAAACTTTTTTCAGCCTCCGTACAGAAAAATAGTAAGGATCAGAACATTTAAAACTGTGTGACGAGTGACGTGTCACTATTTGACTAAACATGTTATTAATCTTATAGCTTTGCTATATTAATATGATTTGAGATAAACTATTGAAATAAATCGGAAAATATCAGAAGTATCCATTACTAAATCGTTGCGAACTCAAATTCATTGAAAAATCCATTAGAATCCACAAATGTTATCCATATAAAACATATACGTAACGCGGAAATGACTTTACCGCAAATTTTTCTTGACATAAAGAAATAATTGATAAATGGACATAAATATTAAATCCCCAAATTAAAATACATTATTACAATGACAGGTAAAAGTTTAAAATCAACATACCTTCACAAATTCAGAAAGATTAAAGATGCAACCAGCTACATGATGCCTTTGATTTTGCTTGATAATAAAGAAATTGAAATGTCCAGTAAATATTAAATTTTAATCCCCTGCTGTTAATGTTGTGAAATAATGAATTCTTTTCATAGCAGCAAAATGATAGAATGGGGAATGCAAATTTTATATGTTTTTGCTATATAGACGACTTGCAACACAATATATAGATAAAACTTGTTACCAAACCATTTTGTTCAATAGCTATAAAATGATAGAGTAGTGTAGCAGGCTTATAGACCATGCCATTGAGCTAAATACAACTGGAACGCTACCTTTTTATGAAGCCAAAAACTGCGGGAAATCACCTCTGCGGTGTAATGTAAGGGTAAATAAGATAACGTTCCAGTGAGGGATTTTAAACTCATTTGTCATTCCTTTAATGAAGCTCCCTACAGTTCAACTGAGATTCGGGTGTTTCGGGTAGCCTTCACTTACAACATTATTTTGATCAAACACACTCAAATTTGGAAATATGAACTTTGCAGGATAAGAATGACAGTAAAGTCTAAAGATGCTTGAATAGGATAACTGTTTGCGTTGTTGTGGCAACCATGTCTCATTTTCTTTTACACTTTTATCGTCAAGGTTTTTGGAATTCACGGTATCGTTTTTTCGGTTCAGTCAATATTTCTGATTTTTTGCTTGACGATTGTTATTATTCAAGAAGCATTTTGTTTAACAACAAAGTAATTCTTTCTATTTGAATCTATTTGAATTTCGTTTGCTCACGTGGTATGTAGGAGTGGGAACTGTTCATGATGTTGTTGAAGATATGTAAAAATAACTACATGAATCTTTCCTTTACAACGACGGAATCTGATTTCGAAAGTGAAGAGGAAGCAATCACCACAAGAGATTTGCAAGAAAATTCAAAGTGCACTCTGCCAAATTTGTATATATAGATGGAGTATTGTGAGAAGAGTACTCTAAGGATAGCTATTGACGAGGAATAGTACAAGGACCAACAGAAATGTGGTTGATTCATCGTAGATTGTGGAAAAGTGTGATTTCTAAATTGCATCTTATTTCGAGAGATTATTTCTAGATTGGATCATAAATATTGTAAGGCAAGAAGAAGTTTATCTTCCAACATAAAAAATTATATGAGTAATGGTTCAAAGCGAGGTTCAATTTAGACGATACAAATTTCTTAATATTAAATGTTATCTGTAGAAGCTTGTAAGAAAGTAGATAATCCCTTTCTTTCATGAGGAACATGCTCCAATACAAAACAATCCGTTAATAACACAAAGTCTACTGAAGATTTGTTCAAAAGAAATATCGATGAATCATATACAGTTTGGAAGCTCGTTGGCTCACGTGCATATAGTAGTAAGAATTGTTCATGATGTTGTTGAAAATGTGTAAAAATAACTACCATGCTAGCGTCTGTGGGACAATACATGCACCATCGCCCCCACTGTGGGACGATACCATTGGACAACACCCCCCTTTCTCCTCCTGGTCTATATTGGCGGAAATCTGACGCCATAAATCCCAACGTGGAAATCGTGACAATTTGTAGTATTCAAGATGAATTTCCAATATTTAGGACTCTTCTTTTCCTTTAAAATGGTCTTAACAAAATCTTATCTGCGTTACGTCGAAGCTGGAATCTTTGGCGTAGTGGGAAGTGCTAGAGCTAATGTGTGTCTTGTTCAAAGTGGCGAGAAAAGACGTGAAATTTGCCGCGCGATTGTTCCCGCAGTAGAAAATGTATATATTTGGGACGCTAGACTTGGCGAAAAAGTATTAGAAGAGAATTGTTGAAACCTTTAAACAATGTTAGATTTTCCACTATTTAAAATGTGTTTTATGATATGCTTATCTAAATGTCTAGGTGAATGTCTTACAAGGTAACAAGAGCGAAGTTACATGTCTCTGCCTCAGTCCTAACTCTGAACATCTTGCTGTTTGGTGAGTAAAACAACTTATCTAATTAAATAATATAACATTTCATTATGTCTGGTAAATGATGCCGAATATTTACTTCATTGTGGCTAATCAACACTTTTAACAGTAAAAGGTATGGTTGTAAGAAACACAAGGTCAGGCAGGGGAAGGGGCTCAACCCCCCTGCTTATAAAAGCCAAATCCTGGACCTCCTAACTTATAAAAGCCAGATCTTACCCTTCCCCCTTGTATTCTGAAAGATCTTGATATCCAGGAAAAAAATGTCAGTCAACCTGTAGAGTATGTAATGTTAACAAAAATGAAAATCATTGGTGTACATTCCCCACAAGTCCCAAACTATTTTAATTTCTACATTTTTGTTAGACTAGATAAATTACATCCCTTTGACAACAGGTAATAAAATTTGCCAATATAAAATAATTTTCTTTGCTTTTGAAAACTGAACAGCTTTTGATCTTAATGTATGTAATAAATTTGCAGCTGCTTACAAGGGAAGAATGTAAAGCTTAACCTGCATACATGCACCTCCACCTGCATACATGCATCTCCACCTGCAGTTTATTTTTAAATTTTAGGTATGGCGATGGTGTCATCAGAATTTGGAATATAAATAATGGTACATCCTCAGTGATATTTAGGTACATTTCCTGTCATGGAATACATTTTTCAATTTGGTCTATGCTCAACAATTTGTTTACCATCGGTACTTTTGATTTCCAATTACAAAACGATCCAAAACTCATTTCAAAAATTTTTTCGGTAAACAAACAGTTAATATAACTCAGCACGCTATTATAATATATGTGCTTTACATATCAACCAAAAATTTTCCAACTTCAAGACCCACAATGCATGCAACAAGGTATAAGAGGTTACCTGGAGAGGGTTACAACTTTGTACAGATGTTGCTGATGGTGCATTTTGCTCTATTTAGCCTTTTGTTTGCCATTGCAACTTCTGCGTTCCAATCACAAAACAGTTCAAAACTCAATTGAGAAAATTTGCCAGTAAACAAGTTACTACTTGAAGACATTTTTACATGCTCTCAATCAAAAGGAACATGGTAAGTTTTCAAATTTCAGTATACAAAATCAATGAAAGATAAATGAACCCTGAATGCCTTGCAAATTTACAAGGAAACTTCTGAAACTATAAGAATGGTCAATACAACCAGTGTTGTCTCTAAAAATATAGTATCAAGCAGTGACGTAGTCAATGTTGCACTACTGCATTACTGTGGAGTGAAGGGTAGAGTTGTGTTTTAGTGTAAAAATTATTAATTCTAGTGAATGGATGTGTATCAGCACTAATGTTTTCAAAGATGCCAAAGCAAACATCTTCATTAGGCATTTTCTATTCTTGCCATATCTTGAATGAAAGATTAAAAAATTATTTCATCTTTTGTTTCATTGAATTTCTTCTAGTGGTCACAAGACAGCAGTTACAGCTCTTAACTATGATTATACTGGTGTCAAATTGGTGTCTGGATCAAAGGTATTCTTTAATTGTGATTTTTATGACACTTAAATCAATTGCCATAAATTGTGAATGGTAGTTTATAAAATGTACATAAACAATTCATTTGTGTTGTTTTCTGCCACACTATAGGATACAGATGTCATTGTTTGGGATATAATTAATGACTCAGGAATGTTCAGGTACGATGATCATTTAATGTTACATGACATGTTTTTTAAATAAACATGTTTCAACATCTTATGATGCCATCTTCAGTATAATAAAGAGTATTATGTATGTGGGAGTAAAATTAAAGTGGGAGTATGACTTAATAACTGAGAGTGAGGAGTATGACTTACAAACTGAGAGTGGGGAGTATGACTTAATAACTGAAAGTGAGGAGTATGACTTAGAAACTAAGATTGGGGAGTATGACTTACTAAATAAAAGAGGGAGTATGACTTACAAACTGAGAGTGGGGAGTATGACTTACTAAATAAAAGTCATGTTTTGCTATCTAAATACCTATGAACTGAGTGTAGATGTATGACTTACTGACTTACAGTGGAATATTTAAACTGAGGTCTTGCCACCTACATACATGCTGTACGTATGCTGTAAAGCTTAGAAGCTACGTATCATATGACAGAAATGTCAAAGTTAGTGAGTTCTTTATTATATAGCAATGTTGTCAAGAAAGAGATAAATGATGTGTATGTATGTATGACCACAACGTTCTTAAATTTGTTCTTTCTGCAGACTTAAAGGTCATAAAGGAATGGTGACTTGTTGTCGGTTTCTTCATTTTCAAAATGTTCTTATAACTAGGTAAATGTAGAAGATTTATTTTCATCTTCAATGGCTTTGCTAGTTTATATTTAATGGTTTTGTCTTTCCTAGTTCCAAAGACACTTTCGTGAAATTTTGGGATCTTGATTCACAGCATTGTTTTCTTACCTTGGTTGGTCATAAAACAGAGGTGAATTGAACTTATGAATTTGTTGTTATGATAGGATGTAAGAGTTGTCTACCCTTCACTCTCCGTAAAAGAATAAGGATGAATACTTGGCTAGAAACAGGGATTTAGGAACAGAATAAAGTCACTGTTATGTACATTTTTTCAAGGTTTGGGGCTTTGTCGTCGTCAAGAATGAAACAAGATTAATTACTGGTTCTGCAGACAGTGAATTGAGAGTTTGGAAAATTGAGTACAGATGTTAGAACAGAAAGACGCGAGGAAACGAGAAAACGAAAGACAGCAACGCAATCTAGTGAGGATGGTGTAGGGGAAATAGAGGTACATAAGAGGTGTTTTTTGGTCATTTCTCTGCGTTGTCTTGCATGATGCATGAGGGATAATAGTGGATGCTACTTAAATTCAGGAAACCAAAGGGAAAATAAGCGTTTTTGAGATCTTTAGTTACAATGCGTGTATGAGGTAATATTAGGATTGTTGGTGGATATTTGTGGGTGTATTAGGAAAGTTGATGGATATTTGTGAGGTAAATTAGGACTATTGGTGAATATTTGTGAGGTATACAGTATTAGGAATGTTGGTTGATATTTGTGCATAGGATTGTTGTCGATTTTTGTGAATATTACAAAAATATTCACAAAGATTGTTGTGTGATTTTT